AGCAAAATAGGGCAATCAGAGAAAGACGAGTATCACATGATCTTACTCATATGTGGAATCTAACGGACAAAACAAACTGATGAACAAAATAGACCCAGAGACATAGAAGTATGGAACAGACTGATGAATCTCGGAGGGAAGATGGATGGAGTGGGGGGGGGGGGTAGGGGGGGATTAACGGTGGAATTTATATACATATATGCATAATCCATGGACACAGACAATAGTGTGGTAAAGGCCTGGGGTGGAGATAGGTTCGGTGTTGTAGAAAAAAAAGGGGGGGGGGGCATCTGTAATACTTTCAACAATAAAGATAAATTTAAAAAAATTAAGGAAATCTAAATAAAGTATGAACTCTAATAATCATTTCAATATTAGTTCTTTGTGACATATCATATTATGGTAAGATGTTAGTAACAGAAACTGGTAGCAATATGTACTAACTTCATGACATTTTTGTAAATCTAAATCTGTTCTAAATTTTCTTAAGTTATTAAAAATACTGTTATTAACTACTGTTTTCTTCCTTTTTCTGAACTCATCTACATAATCCACACCCTCTAGGAATTTTCCCTTGATTTACTCCTAAAATCTGTATGATGATGTCAAACTTCAAAGAGCAATCAACTGAAGACTTTCAGGAGGTGAGGAGACAAGATGTGATACCTACCACAGGATTTAACTCTATCTAAATATAACAAATATGTAAACCCCAGAACGTTTAGGATATAGGAAGCTTTTCAGAATTTTCTTTACAGAACATTACAGGATTGTCAAGATAAAAGAAAAGACCAAATTTTATTGAACAGTAACCAAAACCTCTGGAAATAGACAAATGTAAAAATAGAAGTGTGTTATAGGTGTTAAAACTGGGCAATGTGACTGAGTGAAAAAAACTTCTTATACTATAATCCCAAGAGTGCAACCCATTCACTGGATATTGATTTTGCTAGTCCAAAGTTTGCTTTTCCTCTTCTATGGTATTAGAGACTTCATGCTGACGACTTAGGTGCCCTATAAAAACAATGCTGCAGACAGGTAAAATAATCTCTACTAATAAACACAAAGTTTACATGTTAACAGAAATACAGGCATGCCTTGGAGAGTCCAGACCACCATTCAAGTGAATATTGCAATAAAGTAAGTGCTAATTCTTTTAGCTGGTAGAGGGTCTTGCTTCCAATTTGTAGAAAATGCAACATCTATGAAGCACAATAACGCTAAGCACAATAAAATGATGTAAGCCTGTAAAAATAAAATATTGGCACCTGCTTTAAATAAACAGATTAATGAGATAGCATATGGGATATACTTTGAGTTCCCTGGAAAAGTTACACCAGGAAAATTTAAAGAATTAGGTTACAGTATACAGGGTAACAGAATAACATATATTTTTTATCTATCTGTCTACTTTTAAAATGCAGTACTGGTAAAGGCTGCCATATAGACCTTACCTCTTATTTCTTGTATTTAACTCAGGCCCCTGGTCTTTACAGCCCTTTAAGGTACAAAAGATTTACAAATAGAGAAACAAAAGTACAAAGTCATTTGCCAGAACACTCAGAAAAGAAGCGGTATTTTGAGTTCAGTTGTATTTGCTCCCAAATACTCTGAAGTCCTAACATAGGTGCATGTGAATGTAATCTTATTTGGAAAAAGGGTCTTTGCAGATGTAATCGTTTTACAATGAGGTCATTCTGATAGGGCAGTGTCCTTATAAGGCACTGGTTCTCAACCTTCTGGCCCTTTAAATACAGTTCCTCATGTTGTGACCCAACCATAAGATTATTTTCGTTGCTACTTCATAACTGTAATGTTGCCACTGTTATGAATCGTAATGTAAATATCTGATATGCAGGATGGTCTTAGGCGACCCCTGTGAAAGGGTCGTTCGACCGTCAAAGGGGTCGCGATCCACAGGTTGAGAACAGCTGTTATAAGGGGAAAAGACACACGTAGGGAGAAGAGAGGCCCAGGACAACAGAGGCAGAGATTGGAGTGACGCATCTACAAGTGAAAGAATAACAAAGATTATGGACAACCAAAGGCTAGGAAGATACAAGGAAGGATCTTCCCTAGAGAATTCAGAGGAAGTGGAGGCCTTTGACTCCTTGATTATGGACAGCTAGCTGCCATCACTATATGTATATAGAATTGATTTCAGAGAGGAAGGGCGAGGGAAAGAGAGATAGAAACATCAACAATGAGAGAAAATCATTGATCAGCTGCCTTTTGCACGGCCCCTTCTGGGGATCGAACCCGCAATGGGGCATGTGCCCTTGACTGGATTCGCATCTGGGACCCTTCAGTCCACAGGCCAATGCTCTATCCCAGGGGTGGGTAAACTTTTTGACTCGAGGGCCACAATGGGTTCTTAAACTGGACCGGAGGGCCGGAACAAAAGCATGGATGGAGTGTTTGCGTGAACTAATATAAATTCAAAGTAAACATCATTACATAAAAGGGTACGGTCTTTTTTTTTTTTTTTTTTCCGTTTTATTCATTTCAAACGGGGAGGATACAGCCCGTGGGCCGTAGTTTGCCCACGGCTGCTCTATCCACTGAGCCAAATCAGATAGGGTAACAATAAATTTCTCAGTCCACCAATTTGTAGCATTTCATTATGACAGCCCTAGGAAACTTGCCGGGGCTCTTGTCCCAGCATCAAGAAGGGTTCAGGAATCTGGAAAAGGCTGTGAGTAGATGACATAGGAATCCAGAGACTAATAAAGAGTCCAGAGACGAGATAAAAATTTGAAAGGCATTAGGGGTCAGAGGACCTTCAGCTAAAGGAACTGAAGACTCCCTCCTTGTCTAAGATCCTTGCTTTTATTAACACAATTTGTCCTAAGGCAAGGTGGAGATAATACACTTCAAAGGGTAAGGTTTCAAAGGGTACAGAAGCATTGTCAGTTTGAGGAATAGCCTACGGCTGTTCAGGTGTTTGGCCAGTAGGAGGCAATAACATGTAGATGAAGATGCCCTTTAACTGTCTGGCAGCCACAATCAGTTTCCATTCAGGTATGGGGAAATGCCTTTAGCCATTCCCAATAGGTGACTACATGGGTGACTCAACCCTGTTGAGTCCCCAAGTTTCATCAACCTTTTGATGAAATTATGAAATGCTGGAATTGGTTCCCGGCACAACTAACACAATAAGAAACACAGAAACATGGGCTCCCATTACTGCGTCACTAGGACTAGAAGGAGGGAGTGAAGTATAGGAAGTGAGATTAACAAATGCCAACTGTAGCAAGCAAAACCAGTGAAATAGCACAGTGAGCCCTCCCTGCCCATTGCACCACCTGCTGATCTGATAAGAGTGGTCTTCTCCTTGGATTCAAATCCACTAACCAGCACTTCCACTCTTCCCTCTGAGAGCCATCAACTCGATTTCTGATACAAATTTCCTTACAGCACCTAGGGATCTATTCGCAAATGCCTGCAGCTCAGAGTTGGTATTTTGGCTGTTGGAGAAGATAGGTGCCACATTTTGCATCAGATAAAAACCTGGCAATTTCCTTCATTCAGAAAGTGAACCTTAGGATTTTTCAAAACTGTTTCCAATTACCAGTTGAAAAGTTTTTAAATTCTTAAATATTGATGTATTTCCCTTCAATCCATAATATAAAGATAAAATTCAGAATTTTGTCACCATGTGTTAATCTGAATCTTTCAAATGGGAGAAGAGTAAGGTCAATTATTAAGATCTTAGAAAGGCACACATGAAAAGAGGTTCTCTTTCAAATTTATCATTAGCATTTTGAAAATTAAAAGGAACATTAGTAACTCAAACTCAAGCCTGAGGCCACTTGACCTAACCCTTTTCTCATTTGTCACCTTGAGGAAGGAGTCCGTTTCACTGGTTGCCTTTTTACAAAAGAGAGACTTTTATTAGATAGAGAACCCAACTCCTAGATCACGGCAAATTGCAGCTCCAGAAAGGGGGAGTGTAATTTATCTAAGAGAAAAGGGTCAGCTGTTAACTATATATCTTAACAATAAAATGAATCACACCCGTTTACTGAGTTATATCAGAACTGATCATCCAATTCTATTCATTATTTTGCACATTTGAAGAACCCATGCTCCTAGTCAAAAGATAAGATTTAGCGCGTTGGCAGAACCTATCAATTTCCCTCCTAATGTCCTGTTGGTATTAAAACAAGTCAAAAGCTTATATTCATTGAAATATTGCTTATCCTCAGTAAGTGCAACTAATAAATATTTTATACCAAGTTCCTGCTAACTTATTTAACAGAAACCTCTCATCTCCCTCAGGAATTCTGGAGAGAAGAGCAAGATGAGCTTGGCACCTGAGATTTTACCAGCCTGGCAAATAAGGTGGGTAACAGAGGTACTCCTCCCCAGACCATATTGTGAAGCTGGGATGCAAGAGTGTGTGTGTGTGTGTGTGTGTGTGTGTGTGTGTGTGGTGCGGGGGTGGGGGGGGAAGGGAGGGCAGAGGCAGGGGAGGGTGGATGGGTGGGAAGAGATCCACTAAAGAACTTGTATGCATATACGCATAACCCACGGACCCAGACAATAGGGCGGTGAAGGCCTGGGGCGGGGGACCATAGCGAGCTGGAAGAGGTCAATGGGGGCAAGGGGAGGACATATGTAATACTTTCAACAATAAAGATTAAAAAAATAAGAGAGCTCCTTAAATTCAAGTATCATCATCCTTGCCACAAGCAATGCTGCAGAGCACAAGCCGGGGGACCTGTCCAGTGCCGGCATGTAGCGCGCGCATAGACGAATACGCGGCGAAGGTGAAGTTCAAGTTTGGGTAACTTAGCAAAGCCGGCTGTGAGGGTAACCCGTGGCCAGAAAAGAACCCAATTCTCCAACACCGCGGGGCGCCCACCCAGCGGCTGCTGCTGCGCCGGGTCCAGAAGTCGCTGCGGGGGGCACGGACGGGGCGGGGGCAGGGCAATCCCCGCTCGGCCGCCACGCTCCCGCGCCTCCCACCCCCCAGGACCTAGATCAGGAGCACCTACCCGGTTCCTCTGCCCCGAGCGGAGCCGCGGAAAGACGAAAGCTTCCGGGTGGCCGCTGTCTCCCGCACCGTGGCCAGGAGTCGGGCTAGCCCGTAGCCAACACCTCGGACCGCTGAGAGGTCAGCAGCCCCGCCGCGCAGCCGAGTGTGGGCTCCGGGGAGGGGCTCCCGCCAGGCCCCGCCCTCGCCACGGGCCAGCGGAGGTCCTGAGGCTGTTGCCTGGGGCAGCCGGGGCAGCCAGGTCAGCGCGGCAGGCGGTGGGGCTTAGGGCCGGTGCGGCCTCGCCCCCCAGAGCGCCTCTGACTCCTCAGTATTAGGCAGGTACCCAGGTGCTGGTATTTCACTGGTCTCCAACCACCCGGCCTGCTTCCAGTTCGACCATCAACCACCAAGTCCAGGGCAGGGGTAAGTGCATGGTGGACTCAGACCACCTGAGTTCAAACTGTTATTGTGTGTGTGTGTTTTAAATAATTCTTTATTGTTGAAAGTATTACATATGTCCCCTTCCCCTACTGACCCCTTCCAGCTCGCCCTCAAACCCTCCCCTCCCCACCCCCAAGGCCCTCTCCACCCCATTGTCTGTGTCCATGGACCATGCATATATGCATACAAGGTTGATTACCTTATTTGATTGATTACCTCCTTGGTTGATTACCTCCCACCCACCTTCCCTCCGAGATTCCGCACTCTGTTCCATGCTTCCAGGAGTTCAAAGTATCTCAACGCTGTGCCTCGTTTTCCTCATATCGAGGTATAATATTAGGACCCACCTCCCGGAGTTTATTGTGAAAATCACATGGACTAATCAACAGTAAGTCACTGGTTCTGGAAAAGTGCTTAAATGATTTCATGGTAATAAACACAGCGACTTTCACATATTTCTTCCTGTAAAGTACAAACAAATCCTTGACTGGCCCAGGAAAGCCGTGTGTACAAGGACCTGAACCACAGTAGGGCTGGCTACTAAGGAAATCTGTGGTCTCTTACAGAGGATGGTTGTGGGAAAGGTGTGCAGAGAAAGAGCTTTGGAAAGTAAGGGAAGCATCTTAATTGCAGGGAAAATTGAAGGCAAAGAATCCCGGCTCCGGACCCATTGCCAAGTCCAGGAGACCCAAAAGTTGGAGTTCTTTCTGCATAGATCCAAGAGACCAATAATCAAGTCTAAGAGACCAATCATCCAATTGAAATAGGAATTTTAGGGGAATATAGGCAGGCTGCGGGAATTTTTAGAATTGGGGTCCATGGAAAAACACAGGGCTACATATTATAATGTCTTTTCATAATAAGGAGGATGCTTGTGTGATTTCGTTATAAATTAAAATGGGTTTTACACAGGAGCTCATTAGCTCAGTGAAAAATTTCCTACATTTGGTTGCTTCAGAGTATACATATTAAGAAGCATTTATCCAGGATGTGGAAGTTTAGTAGGTGGGACATAGAAATCGCTGCTCATAAAATTTTGAAAATAGTTTGTCAATTATGAGGTCCTTTTGAAACGAAATTTTTGGACTGGAACATGCAGCGGAACCCGGATTCTTTGTCGGCCGGAGTCGAAGAATGAACCCACGGACCGAGGGTAGTATAGCGAAGGTGGAGATTTATTGAAGAACAGTACAGACTCCCACGTGGGGAGGAGGGAAGGGTCCCACTGAGTTCCTCTTCCCTATGGCTTATAAAGGCTGCAGATCTTGGTGCCTTGATATCCCCTCTGATTGGTCACCATTCCCTTAGGCTGGTTACTGTAGTGACTCCTGAGGCCTTCTTCCCTCATTGTCCTCCTATTCCTTCTGGGCTTTCTTCCTCCTCCTTTATTTTGTAAATAAAGACCTTTCTTGGCTACTTCCAGTTCCCTTGTCTTATGGAGATGTAACTGCACCTGGCTTCCTTGTGTTATAAAAATGTACCTTCTCCCAGTCTGTAGCCCTGTGTTTTTCCATGGAACCCAATTCTAAAAATTCCCTGAGCCTGCCTATGTTCCTCTAAAGTTCCTGTTTCACTTTTTAATGCTCGTTTTCCTTCTGGTGGAGTAAAACATATAGCCTCACTTGATACAACTCAGGACCTGTTTTAATTACCCAATAGACCAGTTAACTTTAGTCTGTTCCATGCTACATAATAATGAATACACATGTCCATTCTCACTATATGGAAGGAAAACAAGCTCATCTCGTTTCTGAAAACAAACGTTGCAGACACTAATATTGGTCTTAGTCCATTCAGGCTGCTGAAACAACATGCCATAGACTGAGTGGTATTATTTCTCATAGATATGGAAGCTGAAAGTTCAAGATCAGGGTGCAGGCCTGACAGGTAAGGGCTCTTATCCAGATTGCAGACTTCTTGCTGTGAAAGAGCCAGGGAGCTCTATGGGATCCCTTTTATAAGAGCACTAATTCCATTAATGAGGGCAGAGCCCAAGGCCACATTTCTAATACCATCACATTGTACATTAGGATTTCAACATATAGATTTTTGGGAACACAAATATTCAGACCAAAGCAGCAGGTGACCTCAGTGATAATTTTCATGGCTTATATAACATTTCAAAGACTTTTTCACCAGCTTTTGTTATGTTTGTCTTCCTCACCTGGAATTCTGCGCTTCCATTTCTCTACACACATTCACATTCCTATTCACATTCTAAGCATCTTGGAGGCCTAATCCAAACCCCAACCTTCATCACTGGACAGATTTTTCTAGGTTACCCTCATATACTACTTCTCTGACCTCCAATGGCGCTTATCAAATATGTTACTATTAAGCCACTCGTCACATATTTTTAATGAATAGACTAATTTTAGAGCAATTTTAGTTTCACAGAAAAACTGAGCAGAAAGGACATATACCCCCACTACCTTGTTTTTATTATCTTGAGTTAGTGTGGTACATTTGTTGCAATGGAGAAACTAATATTGATACATTATTAACTAAAGCTTGTAGATTATATTAAAGATTTTCCCTTAGTGCTCCATAGGTCTATGAGTTTTGACAAATGGGTAATGTCATATGTTCACCATTATAGTATTATACAGAAGAGTTTCACTGTCCTAAAAATCTCATTTTCTATGTATTCATTCTGATACTGAATTTTTGGACTGGAACCTGGATTCTTTGTCCATCGGAATTGAAGAATGAATCCATGGACAGAAAGTGGTATAGCAAAGGTGGAGATTTATTGAAGAACAAGTACAGACTCCCAGGTGGGGAGAGGGAAGAGTCCTGCAGAATGGACTCCCAAGTAGGGGGCGGGGGTGGGGGGGGGGAAGGGTCCCACTGAGTTCCTTTCCCTATGGCTTATAAAGGCTGCAGATCCTAGTGCCTTGACATCCCCTCTGATTGGTCAATATTCCCCTTCTGAGTTGGTTATTATAGTGATTCCTAAGGCCCTCCTTTCTCATAGTCCTTTCATTCTTCTGGGCTTCCTTCTTTTCCATCTGAATGAAGAGCTTCCTTCTCTTTATTTTGCAAATATAGACCTTTCTTGGCTACTTCCAGTTCCTTTGTCTTATGGAGATGTAACTGCACCTGGCGTCCTTGTGTTATGGAAATGTACCTTCTCCCAGTCTGGACCCCAATTCTAAAAAATCCCTAAACCTGCCTATGTTTCCCTAAAATTCCTGCTTCAATTCCTTCTCTCTTTCACCCAAGCCCTGAAAACCACTGATCTTTTTATTGCCTCTGTAGTTTTGACTTTTCCAGAATGTCATACAGTTGGAACAATGTAGTATGTAGAGTTTTCAGATCAGCTTCTTGCATTTAATAATATGCACTTAAGGTTCCTTCATGTCTTTTCATGGCTTAATAGTTCATTTCTTTTTAGCACTGAATAATATTTCATTGCATAGATATACATTTCTCCATTCATCTACTGAAAGAATCTCGAGTGGTTCCAAATTATGGATATTAGAAATAATGTTGCAGGTTTTTGTGTGAATGCAAGTTTTCTCTTTTTTTAAATTTTTATTTATTGATTTTAGAAAGAGAGAGGAAGGGAGAGAGGGAGAGAAGAGAGGGAAACATTGATATATTGTTCCACTTATTTATGCATTCATTGGTTGCTTCTTGTATGTGTCCTGACTGGGAATTGAACCCAAAACCTTGGCGTATCAGGATGACACTCTAACCTACTAGGCAGTCCAGCTGAGGCCTGGACATGTTTTCAATTCATTCGGGTAAACACATGATTTCTGGGCCATTTGTAAGATCGTGTTTACCTAAGAAACTATATAAGACTGTTTTCCCAAATAACTGTACCATTTTCATCTTCACCAATGATGAATGACATTTTCTGTTGGTCCACAAGCATTTTGTGTTGTCAGTGTTTTGTACTTTAGCCATTGTAATGGATATGCTAATGGTATTTCATTGTTTTGATTAACAGTTTCTTAATGACATAAAATATTGTGTATCTTTTTGTTTCTTTGCCCTTTATATATCTTGATCATATTTCCATTTTTTATTGATTGTTTCTATTCTAATTGTTGAGTTTTAAAGGTTCTTTGTATACTTTAGATATAACATATGATATGTGTTCTCAACTATTTCCCAGTGTGTGTCTTGTCTATTTATTCTCTTAGAAGTGTCTTTATTTAAAAAATATATATATTTTATTGATTTTTTACAGAGAGGAAGGGAGAGAGATGGAGAGTTAGAAACATCAATGAGAGAGAAATATCGATCAGCTGCCTCCTGCACATCTCCTACTGGGGATGTGCCTGCAACCCAGGTACATGCCCTTGCCCGGAATTGAACCTGGGACCTTTCAGTCCACAGGCCGACGCTCTATCCACTGAGCCAAACCGGTTTTGGCAGAAGTGTCTTATAGAGCAGAAGTTTTTCGTTTTAATGAAGTCCAACATTTTTTAATTTAATCATGGAGAATACATTTGGTATTGTAGCTAAACCCAAAGGCATCTAGGTCTTCTTCTATGTTATCTTCTAGGAGTTTTTATTTTTATTTTATACTTATGTCTATAATACACTTTGATATTTTATGAAACATATACTATCTATGTCTGCATTTATTGTTCTGTGTGTTGATGTGCAGTTGTTCCAGAGCCGTCTGTTGAAATGACTGTCCTGCTCTGACTGAGTAGCTCATTTGGTTAGAATGTAGTAC